AACTGATTATCTTAATTTAGTTAAGATAAAGTTTCATGTAAATATTAACAGAATTCTCTAGTATTGTCTTAATTCTATGCATTTCCTCTTTATCCCTCCTTTATCTTCTTTTAGTTCTATTTCTTATTGGTAAACTTATAGTATTCAGATCTATCTAATCTAGGAGACCTTGATTAAGAAACTTAATATCATCTGTATAGTATAGATTGAAATAGTCAATTTTTCACTTTATAAGATTCTTGAATTTTAATTCCAAAACAGAATTTAATTCTACTTGCACTCAGTAAAATAGAATTTAATTTAAACCTATTACTTGCACCATATTCTACTTTTCCACTCTTAATACTCTTAAGTTTCTATTCTAATTAGTTCTATTCTATTTAATAACTGATCACTTCAAAGTGTTACTCACTTCACTTTAAAGAAGCAATCGCTTCGCTTCTCGCTTCGCTTCTCGCTTCAGCATTTTTTAGGCCGTTGCTTCGCCTCGCTTTTTGCCTTTAACAACACTGAAGTGATTTGATTTTTCTTGTTTCTTTCAGTGATCGACGTTTAGCAGATCATTTTGGAGGCAAACTTCATTTAGACTATATGCAAATCCGTGATAAATTAGCAGAACTTCAGGTAAGATGATTTAAATGCTTAGTATATGCTGACCTTCTATGGTGGCTCTGCTTTAAGTGTTACATTATAGTGCCTGGCATCCAAGATGTTGGTTGTATAAATTGACTGAACTATCCACATACTATGTCTATTATTATTATTATTATTATTTAAATAATCAGAACTTTATTCGAATGCCATTACCCAATGGATTCTAGTGAAACAGCAAATTAATACATCTTTTCTGGATCCCCTTAAGTTTGTATTGTGAATATGTTGGTCAGGTGCTGGTATAATGTTTCTCATTCTTCTATACAGATTCTCAGTTAGTATCATCTGTGAGTTTTTCTGACCTCAGAGAAGAATAATATCTCCCAGTTTTCAATTTCTTTTGATTGTTTGTCAATGTTGGACTTTAAAACATACTATTTTCTACCTTGTCTGTGCATATTGGACTTAAAATGCATCAAATATGAAATGTCTTGGTGCTCAACCAATTTTGATAGATTAATTTTTTCTGCTGAAAGAATGAAAGAAAAAGGAAACATGAAATCAAATGGTAGAGAAGTACAAGAAAGGAGTTTGTTCTAAGTAATGTAGGAAAAAAAAAAAAGAGCTTTTCATATGTTTAAAATTTGTGACAACAAATCTGATGAAGGCCTGGTTTGGTCAGGGTAAGTTGCCTACTAATTATGCCTACCACCATTAGAATTCTTTCCTAATGGTCCTTGTGGCATGTTATATTTAGCTAAATTGAATTGGAATTTAGGTTTTTGAAAGAAGCATTCAGTAGTATTTGCTGATTATTGTGTTCTCAGGAAGAGAGAAACAAGAGCTGCAAACTTGACCGGTATGATGACAGGAGGCAATCCTCTCGTGGTCTCTTTTCCTTTTTCCTTTGGTAAACCATTGGGTGGTGAGGGGGGTGTTGTGTTATCCTTTTTATTGGTGGTGTATAAATCAAAAGAAAGAAGCAGAGATCATGAGAGAGAATCAAGTCGGGACCAAGACCAAGGGAATACCCATGACCGAAGGAGGGATTATGATCGTAGAAGCAGAGATCGTGACAGGGATTAAGAGCACTCTTGGACTTATGATTCTAGAAGTCGCCACAGGTCACGTTCAAGGTCTAGGGAACGCTCCAGGGATCACGATCGCCACAGGTACTTGTTTAACAATATCCCATGCTTGTAAAACATATTATTAGTTTTGCTTTGTGATTATTTTTTAACTTATTAAATGTGTAATATAATATAATATTTGTTTTCTAGTATTGTAAAATGTGCCAACCTGAGTCTTTTACCATTGTTTTCAAATTTAATGCTGAAATCTAGCTAGTATTTGAGTCCAAGAAGCTTAATGTAAGATAAAAGCCAGGGACAGTTGCATCAAATATATTTGAGGATGTGAGCTACAATCCTTTATGATTTTGGCAACGAAGAAACTCTTTTAACCTGAAGCTAAATCCTTCTTTTCTTTCTTCCTTTTCTTATTATTTTTTATTTTTTTTGAGCTTATATGCTCAATAAGCTAATTATAATTGTTTGTACACAAAATGACCAAATTTGAGAAAAGAAATGTTGAGTTCAAAAGTTTTGATCTTAAGTTTTTATGTTCAACGAACCTGAACATATTGGCTAGTTTTGAACATATTGTTATAAATAAGCATGAGGATAAGAATCTTACTCGGTATTTTTGAGTGCTATCATCCGTAGTATATTTCCCTTGTTATTGGAATACAGTATAGAGAAATGGTTGTAAATCTTGAATAGACCCAGGGCCAATCATGCTTAAAGCATAGGGGTGTAGCGACCACCTGTACTGTAGATTTTAATGCTGTTTTTCTTCACATTAAAAACCCCGGTTTTTTTTAATCTCATCTAAATTCGAAAATATCTTGACTATTGTTTGATTATGATGAGCTGATGAAGGGATGGCATTCCTTTAGTACCTAATTATATTATGACTTGTTAGTTATTGCTTGGATTTGAATCTTGATCTTCACCTCAAAACCAAGTGATAGATATTTGCCTGCCTTATTTTTATTTCTTTTTGTTTTGTGCCTGAAGCTTTTAAAGTTTTTTGTGCTGATAAGGATTATTCTTGAACCTTACTCATTGTTTTTAATCAGGCGTGACGGATACTAGATGCATGAATGCTGCCAAGAAGAAAATGAATACGAAACTGTTCTTGCTTAGGTAAGCCGACTTATATAGGGGAGTAGCATTCCTCAGTTAAGTTATTTGACAGTTTGTCATGTGGTTGTATCAACATGTTTAAGAGGGTATTTGTTGTTTTTTGGTACCTAAAGACTAGGAATTGAATCTTAAACTTATGGTTAAGACTACAAGTAATTCTATCATCAAACCATGTGGTTGACAGTTAAGAGGGTATTTGTTACTTGGTGAATTGTGTTTGTTATTCGGTATCATTGTAGATGTAAGTTTGGTTGATTTTACTATTCCAATTTGCATGTGGAGCAATTTTTCAGTAGAGTATCTAAAGGAGAATTAATAAATGAGGTTGAATTTTATTTTCTGCTTTGACGGCTTGATATTGAGTTGGCAAGAAATTGGAGGATGCTGGAAACATGATTCACACAATTTTATCTAGATTCAGTCTCATCTAATGGTAATCATGCATGATTGGGTGTGAATTAATATGCATAAAAGAATTATGTATGAAAAGAAAAATTTTTTGTAATTCTCAATCATTTGCTGTGTAAAAAGCATTAGATCCAATTACATCCACAAGTTAAATGGGAAACTGCAATGAGTGGAAGCTCATCCATTGATACCAAATATCACTTAAAGAATCATCTATAAGGAAAGGAGTGTGCTTTAAGTATGCAAATGCACATCTCCAATATGCAAAGTGACTCAATCTGTCTCGTCTTGTGTAGCCTATTATCACACACGGTAAAAGAAATGTGAACCTCCCAGGGATCTATGTATCACAAAAGAAAAAGGAAATACCTGAGGCACCAAAATCTGTTGTGCATGTGAAAGTTAAAATTTATATTTAAAATTATGGTTTGCTTTGTGCATAAAAGAAAAAAAAAATATAGCAAACCCATCAAAATGAACAGTCCATATTTCAATTAAAAACAAAGTACATCAGAACACAATTGATAATCATAAAAGTAACATTTATCTTTTGAATACTCTCTCCCTCTTGAAAACACCAGACAACAGACAATTTAATTTTGGATGCCAAGCAATGTGGCAACTTTGTAAAGTTCATATCCAACTTATGACTTATGAGTGTATCATTCAGATCTTATAGGAATTAAGAAAGCAACCTCTCAGTATATATAGTTCCATATGTATAAGAAATATACTTTTATCATACAAGCATATATAAGAAAGCATCACTTGTTTTCTAGAAGGATATTCTCTTTTTAATACTATAAAACAACCCATAAATTTAAAGTCTTTACATGAATTTAATAATACATATTACAAGTTGCACATGAGTTTGAGAATAGAAAAGATCTGTCTTTTTTCTTTTCTTTTCTTTTCTTTTTTTTTCTTCTTTTTTTTTTTTTTTTTGTAGAAAAAAGGGATCAATTTAGTTATAGTGAGGTAACATTCTGGCCACCAAGCAATATGACAACTTCACATCCAACTTATGCGTACACCATTCAGACCTGCAAAAAACTAAGCAAGCAGCCTCAATATACCTCCATGCATGTTTATTACAAGAGATGTACCTTTATCAAACAAGTGTAGAGATGATGGAAGCATAAGACCAACTCACCATCAAATTTCACTTGGAAAGGACATGAGCCGCAATTTCTTTGATCTCAATTTTCGGAATCACCTTGACTCTACAGACAGCAACAACACAATACTGACAGTGAAAGGAAAAATTGTAGCAAAATTTTTCTTTTTTAAAATCATGATCTATTAAGCATTCATACATATCTTTCTAGTGTTTCCTATTATTTTGAAGACTCTAAATGAAGATTTATGTAAAAAAAAAAAAGGAGAAATAGATAGAACTTAAAAAATGAAAAACTTAAGGAGATCTTTCGAATAAATGCATACCTTTTACATGAACTGTAGTTGTACGGTCGAGTTTAGGTTGCCATACCAAAAGCCTTCATCTTCATCTCTAGTCAATTTTATTTTTTGTAGTTTTGGCGTTCTTATTTCACCCATAGAGAAAGTCTGCGTACTTGGACAATCCATCAAAATCACCTCTTCCAATAATGGGAACTCAAACTTGCATTTAACTGAGCAAAAGCTTGAAAGTCTAGGCAGATCACAAAGTTGCAAATACTTGAGTTTGTTAAACGCAATTTCATCCTTAACATCATCCTCCAAGCATGTGATGGTTTCCAACAAAGGTAGCGGAGTGGCCTTTTGAGCTTGTGATTGGCTAACACCAGGTTCATGAGACTCAAGTATCTCTTCAAGTGAATCACAGTTCCATATTTGGAGCTTGTCTAGTCTTTGAAGCCTTTCCAACATACTAAATGGGAAAATATTCAATAACTTTTCACATGAAGCCACACTCACCAAAGTTAGTTGGCAAAAGGAATCTGCTTCGAGCTGGTCATTCCATATTTTATTCAAGCTCTTCACATGTTCAATTACCAAACGCTCTAATTTAGGGAATGCCACCTAAAGATTTACACAATTCAATTAAAATTAAACATAATTATAGATGTAATGGAGTGAAAATATTGAAATCTAATTTTTTTCAAATGTAAAACTTTTAAAAAATAATAATAGCATTATAAGATATTAAAAAGCAAAAAATAAAGCGAAAAAAATAAAGGAGAAATCACCTTTGCATCAAAGAGAGAAACTGTACAAGTGCTTTTGACATTTTCAGAACTAGCTATCATATCTCCAAAAGAGAAGCTAGAGATGAAGTTCTTCAACATAGGGCACTTGCTTATCTTAAGTTTCCAAAGGCATGGTAATTCCAAGTAATTTCTAGAACAAAATCTTGTGAGTTTTGGAAGGTCTTGCAGTAGCAGGAACTCCAGGTTAGGGAAGAAAATCTTGCACATCCTTTCCTCATCCATTGATTCTTCTGCAAGAACTACCTCCTCCATCATATTACAATCACAAATCTTGAGCCAATTCAGTTGCTCAAAACTCTTAACCATGGAGGATGTCAATAGATATTCCAAATTACCACAACCCTCCACACACAACTTTCTTAAATTTTGGACATAAGAAGAGATTTCTAAAATCGAATTGTCCAAAATTCGTTGAATGTTATTTGAAGACAAACTCAAAAACTTCAAGTTAGGAGTCTCTACCTGCAAAGATTCTTGGTTAGTCTATTAATATAAGATAGTAGGAAGATGACTATCATATTTGCTTAATTTTAGTTGAAAACAATTTCAAAAACTCCAAGTTGAGAAAACTCAACCTAATAGAAACTTCGTGAAAATGTTTTTTTTTTTTTTATTGATTAAACTAAAAACATTAGAATGATGATCCAAAAGCAAGAACATGAAAATGACGTGTAATTATGTGAAGTAAATTGATATTTTGAGTAGAAAATAGTCAACTCTTTTTAGACTTAAACATTATTTGGGTCAATGAAGGGCAAAAAGGAAAAAAATATTATTTGGATCAATAATTCTATTTTTAATCTTGAGTATCTTTACATTTTAAGTGGTGATGTACCAATCAAGAGTCTTTATTTTCTAATCGTATATCAAGTGGAACTTATTTTGAGGAGACTCATTCATATGGTTAAAGAGGTAGCTTAGAGATGGAAACACCAACATGCGAAAAGCAAACATAAATATGCTATAAAATCTTAATTACAAAAAATAAACCATG